CTGACAACCAAGAGGTTACTGTGAATGAGGCCAGAGATATTAGGAGGCATGGACAGAGGGGAGATGAGAGAGGAGGGGTAGGTGGACAGAAGACCAGGGATACCCAGAATTCTGGATGTTTTATGACCAGTGAAATTTTTAGAAATCAAACAAAATAACAATTAAAAACCAAAAGAAGATTGCTCACTTTGTAATTCACCAAGTAAGGGTAATTTGGTACAATTATCATGTTTTAATACCACTGTTTTATAAAAGAAGGGATATTTTAAATCTCCCAGAATGGTCATTTACATGAAACAAATTTATATTGTTATCACTCGTGTGTGTGTGTGTGTGCAGTCACTCAATCACGTCTGACTCTGCGACCCTATGGACTGTATGTAGCCCCTCCAGACTCCCCTGTTCATGGTATTTCCCAGACAAGAATACTACAGTGGGTTGTCATTTCTTCCTCCAGGGGATCTTTCCGATCCAAGGATCAAATTCACATCCCTTGCATCTTCTGCACTGGAGGGCAGATTTTTTACACTGTGTCACCTAGACACACCCTTACTGTTCCCATTTTCTCAGGGATTATAAAATTTCAGTTAGATGAATGATGCTGGTTTGCTGAGTGTAAACTGACATGTAAATCCTTTTTTTCTAAAAGAGGGAAGGGAAGAGATTGAATAAGAATAGAGCCAAGAGGACCTCCCATGTGGTCTAGTGGTTGGTGACTGAGACTCTGCATCCACTTTGTGCATGCTAAGTTGCTTCTGTCATGTCCGATTCTTTGCAACCCTAAGGACTGTAGCACACCAGGTTTCTCTGTCCATGCGATTCTCCAGGCAAGAATACTGGAGTGGGTTGACATTTCCTACTCCAGGGGATCTTACCAACCCAGGGATCAAGGCATAAATTCAATCCATGGTTGGGGAAGTTCCATATACTGTGCAGTGTTGGAGGCCAAAAATTTTTTTAATAAGAATATAGTCAAGAGTTTTTGTTTTATGAAGAATGAGACTGATTTGAGAAAAGTCAATATACTGAGAGGAAAAAACAACTGAAAGATTTAGAAATAAGAACTAAATGTAACGTAGGATCCCAGATTGGATTGTGGAACACTGAAAGGACGTTGGTGGAAAAAGTGATGAAATACAAATTAAGTTTGCGGTTTCGTTAATAATATTGTAGCAACACTAACTGCTGAGTTTTGATAAACGTCCAGGTTAGGGGAAGCTGGGTGAAGGGCATATTCAAACCTTTTGCATTATCTTTAAGACATCTTTATAAATCTAAATTTTTATAAATAAGAAGCAAAAATACATGTAACAACAAGTACACAGAGGAAAAAGGGCTTCCCTGGTGGCTCAGTAGTCAAGAATCTGCCTGCCGATGCAGGAGACACAGGTTCCATCCCTGATTTGGGAAGATCCTACATGCCGCAGAGCAGCTCAGCCCGTGGGCCACAACTATTGAGCCCGTGACCTAGAGTTTGGGAGCCACAACTACTGAGCCCACACTCCGCAACTACTGAGCCCACACTCCACAACTACTGAGCCCACACTCCACAACTACTGAAGCCCACACTCCGCAACTACTGAGCCCACACTCCGCAACTACTGAAGCACACACTCCGCAACTACTGAAGCCCACACTCTGCAATTACTGAAGCCCACACTCCACAACTACTGAGCCCGCACTCCGCAACTACTGAGCCCACACTCCACAACTACTGAAGCCCACACTCCACAACTACTGCAGCACACACTCCGCAACTACTGAGCACACACTCCGCAACTACTGAGCCCACACTCTGCAACTACTGAGCCCACACTCTGCAACTACTGAGCCCACACTCCGCAACTACTGAAGCCCACACTCCGCAATTACTGAAGCCCACACTCCACAACTACTGAGCCCGCACTCCGCAACTACTGAGCCCACACTCCACAACTACTGAAGCCCACACTCCACAACTACTGCAGCACACACTCCGCAACTACTGAGCCCACACTCTGCAATTACTGAAGCCCACACTCCACAACTACTGAGCCCACACTCCGCAACTACTGAGCCCACACTCCACAACTACTGAAGCCCGTGCACCCTAGAGCCCTCGCTCCGCAATGAGAAGCCCTCCCGGCTTAACTCAAGCATAGCCCCCGCTCACTGCAGCTAGAGAAAAAAGTCCGAGTGCAGCAACGAAGACCCAGCACAGTCAAAAGAAATAATTTTTTTTTTTTTTAAGTAAAAGCAGATAAGTGACAACCTGAAATCCCTCCGGCTAGACTTTGGCACCAGGTGGCAGGTGGCAGTGACCTGGAACAGGAAGGAGACCTCCGTCCCTAGGACCACAGGAAAGGGTGGGACAGGGACATGAATAATTTGCCAGTAAACATGCCCCCAGTTCAGGATGATGAGCTCCTCGGGGTCAGGGACCGACCGATGCACGTGGCTACCCGCAATGTATAGAAGGGTTTTTCCTGTGTTGCCAGTGCTCAGTAAATGTTCATTGATAATAAATCAATTCCATGACTTAAAAAAAAATGCCCCCAAAAGTTTGAAATAGAAGACTTCGTAATAAAATAATGTAATAACTGATGGGATAAAACAAAAATGAAAGTGGTTTATAAATGAAGGGGGAAATAGGCAAATGACCACAATATTCAGACTGACGACAGAAATGAAAGGTTAATATTACACAGAAAGAAAAAAAAGCAGCAGCCTTGGATCATGTTCCATCTTGGAATAATTCTGCTCCTCAAGGATTCTGAGGGCTGAAATCAGCAACCTAGAAAAGCCTTACTTTAGAGCTCTGGGTAAATTATGGAGGCTATTATCAAGATTGCACTAAAATAATGGCAGGACATTGAGAGGGAGAGGACTAGCAAGTGGAAATGAGCAAAGCCCGGAGGAAAGACAGCTGCTCCACGTAAGGAATCGAGTCCACAAACCACTGCAGCTGCTGTTGATTTTCTATCAAATCCTTCCGCTGACTCTCAGGACAGACCCAGGCCCCAGCAGAAGCTTTTCGTACATTCCCACTCCTATATTTTATTCACTTAAAACTCTCCTTCAGTGGTCATCATCTTCTGATATGTAGAAACAGCAAGTCACCACACTATGCACCTGGAGCTAACAGAGCATTGTAGGTCAATTACATATCAATTAAAAAACAAAAAACCAAACAGCAAACAAACAAGCATCCTCCTTCCTTTAAAATATGAATAATCAGCTTCCTAGCAGCAACAAGTACAAAACTCTTAAATTTAATACCTTTTTTTAAGTGGAAAAAAATATACAGTATGATGATCATTCATAATACTTGTTTCTGGTCCTCCATTTTATGGTGTGGGGGAAATCAAGTATATATGTTTTTGTACTAAAAAGGGGTATATTAAGTAATACATACTGTATAACTTAAAAATTAATATATAAAAATGAGGAAACTTTATTGTATAACTATGGAAAAAATGTTGACTTTTTAGATAATAAGATTATGATTTGAATCACCTTGGGAGATATTGCACACTCTCTTGTGAATGGACATTGCCTTGGTACATTACAGCTAAATACTGAGTTAGGGTTCTTCAGTTGCAAACAACAGACTCCAACTCTGATTAACTCAAACCGATGATGATGATGATGATGATGATGATGAAAGTTGCTCAGTTGTGTCCGACTCTTTGGGACTCCATGGACTATATAGTCCATGGAATTTTCCAGGCCAGAATACTGGAGTGGGTAGCCTTTCCCTTCCCCAGGGGATCTTTCCAACCCAGGGATCGGACTCAGGTCTCCCGCTTTGCGGACAGATTCTTTACGAGCTGAGCCACAAGGCAAGCCCAAGAATACTGGAGCTGGTAGCCTATCCCTTCTCCAGAGGATCTTCCTGACCCAGGAATCGAACCGGGGTCTGCTGCATTGCAGGTGGATTCTTTACAAACTGAGCTATGAGGAAAGTCCAACTTAAGCCCCAAAGCATACTAAATTGTTTGTCATGTCTGACTCTTTGCGGCCCCATGTACTGTTGTCTGCCAGGCTCCTCTGTCCATGGGATTCTCCAGGCAAGAATACTGGAGTGGGTTGCCATGCCCTCCTCCAGGGGATCTTCCCAACTCAGGAAGTGAACCTACATCTCCTGTGGCTCCTGCATTACAGGCAGATTCTTTACCACTGAGCCACCAGGGAAGCCCCATAATGGAAGGATAGTATGCGTGTGTTAAGTACACAGCAGCAGTCTAGAATGAATGGCTGAAAGGGCAGGAACCAGGGTCTAGGGAGAGGAACTAATAATAGTTGCCTCAAGGTCCTAATGTTGGTTGCAATCACCACTGTGTTTTTCCATTCCTGTGTCCTTCTGCTGAGAATCCAGAGTTAGTAAGAGAGCTTTGATGAGCTTGGGGCATGAGGCAAAAAACAGGGCACTACAATGAACAGTGCCTGAGAATCACCCATAGTGGGAGGACAGGTAATTCAGAAAAGGGCTCTTACTGGAAGAAATGGAAGTGGATGGAGAGTAATGACTACTTGCCTTCTTCTCTTATGCCACCATGCCTCTGCCCAGTTCCTGCCTGGACTTGAAATGCCCCTCTGAGTTGGAATGTCTCTAGCTGGCCAGACCACATGACAAACTCCTATTTCCCCCCCAAAACCCAGATAAAGTCACCAATTTCTGTGAAACCAGGCGGAGGAAATCACTTTGTACTCTTCGGGCCTTTTCACACTTCCCTTTGTTGAATTGCTAACACTGCACTGTAATGATTTGTACTTGTATGGCTCTCTATGAGACTGTAAGTTTCTCAAGTGCAAGAATAATGTCCTTTCAACTCTGCTGCTTCCGTGCCTAGAACAGGATCTGCCATAAAAAGAGAATTCAACAAATGCTAAATGCTTGCTGAAATAAACGTAAATAACAAACCACTTCTATATTTAACAATAAGAAAACCTGAAACAAAATTAGACAGTTTTGAGGAAGCACAAGGACAATTCTGCAGAGACACAAAATAATTTGTTACCTTTGCAAATCTGCGTGATGTTTGAGAAAGCCTGGCAATGTCTTCAAGATCCAGATAAGAAATGACATTCAGCAGCAAACTGTCTGAGAGCCGTTCAAGGAAGTCAAATTTACCTTCACATAAATTGAAGACATAGTCTAATATTCTTGAACCAAATATTAAGGCAATTTGAACTGCAATTCAAAAAAAGCCAACAAAACAACATGGTTATCATGTGCAGTCACATAAAAACTATGACTGTTATCAGTAAGACAAGCTTTGGGGCATTTTTCCACTGAGAGTGACGTTAGATTTGCTGAGTCATTCCTGCTTTCATCAAGCTGTCTCTGGGACCAGTGGTATGTATTTACGAGGTATTTGTTTCCAACAGCTGCCTCTGACCTGATATCAAAATCTTTTAGGTATACTCAGTGTTGAGCACAGTGATGGACTGAACCAAATTCCAGTCCAAACAACTGACTTAACTCGTCTTCATGTCATCCCCATCTTCATCCTCCCAATTGCCGAGACTAGGTAGAATGCTAGTGCACGTCATTTTTTTCTACCCCTCTGCCCCCAAATTGGTGTGAAACACTTTAATAGCCCTTAATTTTGATCGATTTTTGTTCCCTTCTTGTTATACATTGTTTCTCTACCAAACTTCCTTCTTCACCTTCTTTCATTCCCGTGAAATTGTGAATTATGAGTGGTTAAATCCAGGGGGTGATTTTTTTTCCCCTTCCTTTTGCTTATCTGTATTTTGCAATCTTTTTTTATCATAAACTCTGTTTTACCAATGTAGTTTTTTTCATAATCTAGAATGAATGGACGGGAGGAAGAAAGAAGGGAAGAAGGCTACCACCCTTTTATGAGAAAGAAAAGTGGGGTTACAACAGGATTTTATGCATGTGGATCACAGTGGTTCCAGCACTGGGGACTTTGTTTCTTGAAGCTCATTTTTCACTTCTGCCTCCAAAAGCACCACTATGTCTGGCCTTTCTAGAGAACTTCTCTCAGAACAGACAGAATGGATTCTCTACAGGGGACTAAGTGTCCAAGATTTGGGGACACTTCCTTCCCAACATGGAACATTCCTTCCAGGGCAAGTGGGATGAAGCTGTCAAGAATACCGGGCTCCTTGTATAAGCAGGCAGACCAGTGATCCTAGAGGTTGATGGCTTTCCAATTTCAAAATGGATGTAAGGTGAGGGCTGTGTTTATGTAAAAGCTCTGATTGTGCTAACCTGGAAGAGCCAGCCATATAAGATTTCTCTCCAAAACTGGTCAGTCCAGCTTTCTAGAGGCATTAAGGGTTTTAGTTGCTTCTAAACTACAAGTGCTTCTAATTCAAAGTCCTTCTAAAGTTCAAAGTTTTTCTTGGGAGGAAAATAACCCCTCAAAAACTCATCCTCACAGGGTACTATTGTGAAGAACCCTTGGCCCACCAGCAGAATAAGGAAAAAGAGGTGCTTACTTATTGGAAAAACAAAACCTTTAGTGTAATAAATTTTCTTAAAATAACTGGAGATATTTGAACATTTTAAAATGCCAGGAAAGCATGCTCAAAGTACGTGTCCAGAGGTACTTTAGAAAGTCTCTACCAGTACTTTCCTGGTTGTCCAGTGGTTAGGAATCCTCCCTCCAATGCAGGGTCTGTGGGTTCAATCCCTGGTCAGGGAACTAAGAGCCCACCCACGTGTTGTGGGGCAACTAGGCCCACAAGCCTCAACTAGAGAGAAGAATTCGCACTGCAACGAAGATCCTGTGTGCCTCCACTAAGACCCAACACAGTCAAAATAATAAATAAGCACTTTTAAAAAAAAGATAGTCTCTACCAATAAGGTCTTTTAAGTTAAAGTTATAAAAGTTATAAGATATAAAGTTATAAAAGTTAAAAGTTAAGATAAAATTGTAAAAGGACATATAGCCCCTAAGTATGTAATGGGGTAGTTTCAAATTATACAGGCATGGGCATACTTAGAAAAAAATTTTTTGTATGTTTGTGTTTTTTTTTTTTTTAAATAGCCAATAGGTCACCAACCTTAACTTCTTTTAAAATAAGGAAAACGAGGTTAGAACAAACCCCATTTTGAAGAGTAAAGTCCGTGCCTTCATGTTGGATTGTGTGACAGCCAGCCTTCCAGAGAGACCCTGTGTCTCTCCTCCTGGAATCATGCTCCTGTTTCCCAGCCCATGGTGAATGAGGGCTGGCCTAGGTAACTGAGAGGAATTGCAAAAATATCCCAAGGCTGGGTCACCGAAGACACTGGGGCTTCTCTTGCTGTCCTGGATCACTCACTCTCGGAGAAGTCAAGGGCCATGACCTGACACTACTCCACAGCACCGTGGAGAGGTCTGTGGGGAAGGAAACTGAAAGAGCCGTGTGTGTGTGTCCCCATGTGAGCCATGGTGGAACTGGATCCTCCAGCGCCAACCAAGCCTTCTGATGACTGGGGTTCAGACAACATTATGCAAGATCCTGGAGCAGAACGGCTAAGCTATGCTGCTCCCAAATTCCTGACCCTACCCTCTGAGTTAATAAACGTTTATTATTTTTTAGGGCTTCCCAGGTGGTGCAGTGGTAAAGAATCCAGTTGCCAATGCAGGAGACACAAAAGGAGAGGGTTTGATCCCTGGGTGAGGAAGAACCCCTGGAGAAGGAAATGGCAACCCACTCCTGTATTCTTGCCTGGGAAATCCCACGGATGGAGGAGCCTGGTGGGCTACCATCCATGGGGTCATAAAGAGTCAACACAACTGAGCACACACACACACACACACACAGACACACACACAAACATACACATTGTTTTAAGCCGTTGGGTTTGGGGGTAATTTATTACACAACCATAGACAATAAAGATTTAGGTGCCTGCAACTGTTGTGGAAACCTAGAATGTGGAAATGGCTTTGAAACTGAAAAGTAGCAAAACTTTGAATGAGCTTGAGGAAACTATGCTGTGAAAGTGCTGCACTCAATATGCCAGCAAATTTGGAAAACTCAGCAGTGGCCACAGGACTGGAAAAGGTCAGTTTTCATTCCAATCCCNTTAATTTTGGGGGGCTCCAAAATCACTGCAGATGGTGACTACAGCCATGCAATTAAAAGATGGTTGCTCCTTGGAAGAAAAGCTTTGACCAACCTAGACAGTATTTTAAAAAGCAGAGACATTACTTTGCCAACACTTTGACCAACCTAGACAGTATTTTAAAAAGCAGAGACATTACTTTGCCAACAAAGGTCTGACTAGTCAAAGTTATGATTTTTCCAGTAGTCATGTATGGATGTGAGAGTTGGACTATAAAGAAAGCTGAGCACCGAAAAATTGATGCTTTTGAACTGTGGTGTTGGAGAAGACTCTTGAGAGTCCCTTGGACTGCAAGGAAATCCAACCAGTCCATCCTAAAGGAGATCAGTTGTGAGTGTTCACTGGAAGGACTGAGGTTGAAGCTGAAACTCCAATACTTTGGCCACCTGATGCTAAGAGCTGACTCATTTGAAAAGACCCTGAAGCTGGGAAACATTGAGGGCAGGAGGAGAAGGAGATGAAAGAGGATGAGACAGTTGGATGGCATCCCTGACTCAATGGATGTGAATTTGGGTAAACTCCAGGAGTTGGTGATGGACTGAACTGAACTGAACTGAGGAGAGAGTTAGTTAAAGTCTGAAAAGCCTTCAATAAATATTATACTGCGCTCAGTTACTCAGTCATGTCTGACTCTTTGCAACCCCATGGGCTGTAGCCTGCCAGGCTCCCCTGTCCATGGGGATTCTCCAAGCAAGAATACCGGAATGAGTTACCATGCCCTCCTCCAGGGGATCTTCCCAACTGAGGGATCAAACCTAGGTCTCCCACATAGCAGGCGGATTCTTTACTGTCTAAGCCACCAGGAAAGCCCAAATATTACACTAAGTAAATAGAAGCCTGACAGACTCTGAAGAGGCTTTACAGGGTAGGTTTAAAGAAAAGTGAGGAAAATATTATGTAAAAAAAAATGGAGAAAAGGGAGGAAAAATCTGGAGGAAAGGGAATCCTTGCTATGTGGTAGCAGAAAGTTTTGCAAACTTCTGAATGTACACTGTTCTACAATTTTGACTTTGAAAGCACATGCATGTTTTCTATAGTCAAAACTCAAAACAGAATTTCTTAAACTTTTTTTAAAGATTCTATTCTTAACTATAAAAAATTGTAAGGTGATTGGGAAGAGTTTGAGCAAAAGATACGTAAGACCATAATGTAGAAAATAAATGGAGAGAAATACCATGCTCATGTTGGGAAGACCAAAGGATCACAGTTCTGTCAAAAACCTAGAAAGTTAATCCAAATCCAATTAGAATTTCAGCAGGGAGCTCTGCACAGATTTACCAGCTGGTCTTAAAGCTCAGAGGCAGAATAAAAAGTCAAGAACAGCCCACATAAAGAATAGAATGACAGGCTTCCCTGGTGGCTCAGTGGTAAAAGATCTGCCTACCAATGCAGGAGACATCAGTTTGATCCCTGGTCCAGGAAGATCCAGGAAGCCCATGCGCCACAACTACTGAGGTTTTGCTCTAGAGTCCTGGAGCCACAACTACTGAGCCCATGCACTGCAACTACTGAAGACCACACGCCCTAGAGCCCGTGTTCCATGAGAGAAGCCGCCACAGTGAGAAGCCCATGCCCCATAATGAGAGAGCAGCCCCTCCTCGCTGCAACTAAAGAAAGCCTGCACAGTGACAAAGACCCAGCACAGCCAAAAATAAATAAATAATTTTTAAAAGACTAGGACATCTCTGGAGGCTCAGTGGATGGGAGTCTGCCTGCCAACGCGGGGGACACTGGTTTCATTCCTGGTCCGGGAAGGTTCCATACGCCTTAGGGCAACTAAGCCTGAGCCACAACCTCTGAGCCCGTGCTTTAGAGCCCTCGAGCCACAACTGCTGAGCCAACATGCTCCAACTACTGAAGCCCATGCACCCAGAGCCTCTGCTCCACGACCAGAGGAGCCACCGCGATGAAGAGCCCGTGGATGGCAATGAAGAGAAGCCTCCGCTTGCCACAACTAGAGAAAGTCCACTTGCAATGATAAAGACTAAGTACAGCCAAAAAATTAAAAATAAATACATTAATCAATTTTTTCAAAAAAGAACAGAAGGAGGAGGAGGCAGATGAATTCATCTCCACAGGTAAGAGAACTTACTATAAAAATTGCA